ATACGGAGTACTAGGTAATAACTGTAAAAAAAAATATCAGCATTGAAATTAAAATAGTACAATCGAACATCATATCAAAACGTAAATGATATAATTTAGTAAATTAAGTGTAATCATTTAACAATAAATTTAGAATATAACAGTAAAATTTAAGTTGAGAAGGGAATGAACACAGACCTTAAAATTTAGACAAGATTTTTACTTCTTATTTCCCTCCTAACCTCCTATCTTTCTCCTTTCTCCTAGCTTCTCCTCCCTTGGCATCATAACTCACGGCCCGGCCTCTATGTTGTTTATTTTTACACTCTCACTTACATGTATAATTGAAAGGATCGCATGTGTCCGTATATATCTATGATGCATGGCATCATGGCTTTTGTTTCTTTTTCCATTTGGTGTGCAAGTGTCCTTAGAATTGGTTGGGTTTGCATGGTGATAAACATGTAGCATACTTTAGTTATTTAGAGTGGTTGGGTTTGCATGGGAATGAACGAGTGGCATCCCTTAGTTATTTAGGTTTAATTGTTTAGCTACTTTAATTCTTTTATGAGGCTCCCAAGGAATTTACATGTAGCAAGGTCAACCTTTATTATTTTTTTTTTTGTGCATTAGAAGGTTTCCTATTACTTTATGTAAAATTATTATTTTATTTTATTTTTACAAAATTTTATCTATTTTCTTTTTATCTTGAATTTAAAATTTTTGTGAAATTGATGTTGTTACATCTCCAATCAGCGTCTTCGTAGGCAGGTCCTGTATCACACATAACTGATTAGTAAAATATATATCACATTTCTGATCATCAATCAATCGAGCTATAGAAACAAGATTATACTTCAAATATCCACGTACCAACAAAACCATCCTAAGTGTAATATGTGTACTTATTTTCACATCTCCCACACTAGTCGCGCGTGGGTAATATCTCTGTTAGGTAGTATCACTGCCATAGATGGCAATGCATGTTTTTTTATGCAACAATGTTTTCGCACTACCTGTCATATGATAAGATGCACCGGAGTCCAGAAGCCATTGAATATTAGAATCCTTACCCGTCAATTTTTCAGTGGGTGCAAATATCTTACTCTTCTCCAGAAGTTTGACGAGGCCTTGCCACTGCTCATCTGTAAAGCCTGGAATCCGTCCTTCTTCTTTCTACCGCTACCTTCCTCACCTTTTTCCGTCACAGCAGCTCCGTTTGTCATAGTTTCAGAAGAAGTATTCCGCAGGAATACTTAGATTCAGTATTTCGTCGTTCAAGGCCTCAGGAGTCGTAAGACCCACTCTGATACCATGAAAAAACTTAACTGAATAAAGAATGATTTTATTCGAACGATTAAAATTGAGTACATCCGCATACATATATACTGTTGATGGTCAGGCTACGTAACGACCTGATAGACTTCTACTTCTACACAAATACTACATGACCAGCTAAACTAAAGTGATAAGACCGTACAACAATAAAATAATAAACAAATGATTAAAAAATACAAAAGACTCCAAATTGAATAAAATGGCATGTATGCATACGTAAGATTCCTCATGCATGCGCGTCATACCACATAAAACTTAGGATCTGTAGTTACTACTTTAGCAAAGAATATGATAAATATATTAAAGGGAAAATGGGCAAATAAGCCCGCATTAATAGTAGCATTTTATCTCTTAACTCCTTGATGAAATCAATTGAGATTGATAACCTCAACACAACGGTTTCGGTTTAATCAACAAAATTAATCCCTCTTAAGTTTATTAACCATGACCGTGCATTAATAAACCGAAGTTACTTACTTGTGAAACCATCAACGATTAACCATCGGTTCGTTGATCGTTTCTAGTAATAATTAATATGTGAAACAAAACTAGTTGATCCTTTAAGTAATGTTCAAAATATTAATATGAAATATGAATAGGAATTAATTAATACTCAAGGAAGAATATTAAAGAAGATGAATCCTTCTATAGTTAATATCAAGATGTTAACTAATTGTCATCTTAGTAACACTCCCCAATATTAACATAGAGGAAGGAATAGCTATTACTAAGACCAATGTCAAGATGTTAACTAATTGTCATCTTAGTAACACTCCCCAACATTGATATAGAAATAGTATTTAAGAGAAGAATTAATATTCAAGGAAAGAAGTTAAGAAAATAACTCACAACTTTAATAATCAACAAGCTTCAAGAGCAACACCAACAAATGAGAGTTTAGCTCCTCATTTGGAGACTAAACATGCTAGAAAAATATAAAGAAATGCTATTCTAAACTGAGCTTAGAAGTGTTAAGGAATTGGTCTCTAATTGTGAAGGGAAGGAGGTGTATTTATAGGCTTTTTGGGAGTGCAGCTCGGATACCCGATCGAGTACACATAGGGTACCCGATCGGGTATGTGTAAAAACATTAATTCGAGGCATACTCGATCGATTTCAGGGTGGAAATAAAAGGCATACCCGATCGGGTGTGTCGGTGTACCCGATCGGGTATGACAACTGATCGTGGCCAAATCTTCCCCTGCACGTCCCTTTGTTTCCTGATTGATCTGATTGAAAGTCAAGTTGGTACCCGATCGAGTACATGGTATACTCGACCGGGTACAGGTCAAAAATCAGGATTTTGCCTTCTTTTTGTCTTGTACTCTTGCACCTTCCTTCACCAATGATCATTTGATTGATCTTGGACCTGTTTAAGCTCAGAATAAACCTAATCTAAACATATTACAGCTTTTTTACAAACATAACTATTACACCAAAAGTGTGTAATTTCCGAAATATTAAACAACCAAAACTAGTTAAAAACACAAACATACATACGGAAATTACACGCGTATCACCCAACATGACTAGTTTTATATAAATTACATTCTATAAATTATATGATATAATTTATCGTTTAAAGTTCAAGATTTAGGATATGGATTGGGCAGATTTTGACTATTTTTAGTGAAAATATATTAAAGTTATAATCATGGCTCTAAAACTCGATACACGCTAGTCGGACAGTTGAGGGGCGCCTAGGAACCAATTTTTTGACCGACTAGACCGACTAGGCCTTACAATTAGGACCGACTAGGACGACTAGGCCAATTAATCGGTCCGACTAGGCCCATTTTTAGAACAGTGGTTATAAGTCTAAGTGACATAGTAAAGATTGTAAAAAATGTAGAAAATGTAAATAGCTTGAAATAAAGATGAAAATGTATGAATAGAGGATAAAAGTGATAAACGTAAGGAAACGTATGCATATATAAATGAAACATTTATATATAAATGGTTATAAATATTTATACATACATACATACATACATATATATATATATATATATATATATATATATATATATATATAAATGAAAAGTGATGCATTTATAAAATATTTACATAAAAGTATAATGGCTATCTAATATATAGGGGTGGAGCACTATTCTCATTTTATTTGCAATGTTTTAGATTTTTTATATTGGGACTATTATAAAATAGATCAATCATAGTTCATGATTATAAATAGACTTCATTTCTTAATTAATTAACAAGGACAATATGTGAGGTCGGTTATGACCAATCACAAGGGACTATTGTTGAAAGATTACCTCGATCTATTGTTGAGACTACTCATGAATGATTGATGGTTGCCATTATTAACGACAGATTAATAATAGTTGAGATTATTATTTTCAATTTTTCTTTATTATTAATTTTTAAATACTAGCAATAACTTTTAGGGAAAATTGAAAATTATGGAAGAGAACCCATCGATGAACCACCATGTACCTATCAACGCCAATATGCCATTGTCGAAGAACCAAAGCCTTAGACCAACCTCTAGAAGTTCTGCTATGGTTATAGGCCTCCACTCTCTCTATAACTCTATAAGAAGTTAGTCTTTCATCCTGTGCGTTACACAGGATTTCAAATTAGTTAAAATCAAAGTATGATAATGCATGTATATTAGAATATTGTTGCTAATAATGTGAAGAAATATACATTCAAACCAAGTGTTAATGTCAATATAGGAAGAACCAAAGATGCACTAAGCTACCCAAACTACTTACATTCAAAAATGGATATAAAAGAACGTCAAAAACTTTCCGACATGCATGTATTTAATGATAGATGGAAAATGAGAATTTAAAAACACGGGTAATCTCAAATTACGATTAAAAGTTCTAAGCGTCATACCACATAAAACTTAGGATCTGTAGTTACTACTTTAGCAAAGAATATGATAAATATATTAAAGGGAAAATGGGCAAATAAGCCCTCGAACTAACGAAAAAAGTGCAAATTAAATCATCCCTTATATAGGAGGTTCTGTCCGGCCGTCGCCATTTGGGGTGGTTCCCGGTCGAATTTTTTGATGAAATTTTTTAAGCATCTTCTTCATTAAGTCTAGTTTACCCATACCAAATTTCAGCTAAAAATTAAACCGGGGAGGTAGTCAAATAATTCCCTGAAATATATTGTGTTATTTAACTGCGCAGTTAGCTTCAAAAATTCATTTGACTGTCTTCCCGATTGAATTTTTATATGAAATTTGGTATGGATAAACTAGACTAAAAAAAATCATCAAAAAATTCCACCGGAAACCTCCCCAAATAACGACGGCCGGACAGAGTCTACTATATAAGGGGTGATTTGCACTTTTTTTTATTAGTTCGAGGGCTTATTTGCCCCTTTTTCCAATATTAAACCATCTCACACATATGGAATATAGAGCTTAGGGTCCGTTAGTTTTTTGGCTTTTTCACGCCAAAACACTGCAAAAACTAGTGTTTACAATTGTAAAAAAATGGCGATTCGGCCTAAACCACCAATATCCAAACAGGGGCTTAGGCTACTTTTCTAGCAAAGATTAACTTTTTAGAATGCTAACTTTATTTTAGTAAAATGTATGTTGGTGACCGTCAATTAATACGGAGTAACGTACATGGACATACTTTGTAAAATTTAATGGTTTTACTAGGATTACTAGTTAATTAGAAAAAGGGGAAGTTTAGTTGACAACTTGACAATTGACATGCATGGAGCTTAATGTCAGTCATATTTCATTTCAATTCAGCAGCCAACGGCTAATATATATATAACCCATGCACTTTAATTAGACACAGAGAAAGCTTCTAATAAATTCCAATTGCATGTCTTTAATGATACATATAAACGCCTCCAAGAACTTCAGAAGCAGTAAGAGAAGGCCTTCCACCTTCAATTGAATCTTCTTCCATCACCTCCCCATCCTGCCGCTCCCTTATATCCATGCTAGACTTCCTGCTACTCCCATAACGGCTACTACCTTTGCGGGATGGAGAATGGATATCGATTTCGATCTGCCCGACTTTTTCTGCTGCTGGAACAAGCTGGCTCACTCTCTTTATCTCTTTCCCTTTTCCCCACAACACTGTGTATAGTCCTGTTATAATTAGACCAGCTCCCAGCAAACTGTACATGCATATAAAGATCCAAGAACAACAATGTGAATATTAAGTAACCTTCAAAGTTTTCCCCTTTAAAAACGTTTATGTATGATGTATCCAACAGACCCTAAGCAAGCTAAGGACTAGTAAAAACTACTACGTAAAAAGAAATAAGATAACGTACGTCCCAAGGTGCAGCCTCTCATCCAAGAATAAGGAACCAGCAATTGCCACCATGATGAGCATCAACGGGTTGAAGACCGAAACGTAAACGGGGCCTTTCATGCGCACGGACCATGCTATGACTGTAAACATCAGCCCAGAACCAAGGATTCCCTACAATATATACGAGGTCACGTGAACCGTTAAACGTTACCATTTCACCTCTAGAACAAGTTTGTACATAATGTGACATAAAAAAAGCAAGGGTTTTGTTTATTTACAGCATATGCAGCAGCTAGGAGTCTAATATTCCACCCCAACTTCCATTGGCTCCAATCTCTTTCCTTACAAATTGCATACCCGAAAGCTTGTATTGATCCCAATATCATCGTTAGAGCGGTGAATGAGTAAGGGCATGGGTAATGCTCAGCCGCCTTGGCCTTCATTTGTCACCCAAGTGTGCCGTTTAGAGAATGAAACAAAATTACAAAAACAGTGAGAAATGTATTACTAATAGTATTAGTAAACTTAAAAACATGGACAACATGTGATCAGACATACTCATAAACGTGTGCGTAGTGACCATATATATAGCTAGTGACTGTAGCACCAACTATAGTGAAAAAAACCAAAATGGTTACCTGGAGAATCAACCAGCAGGAGTAGCAAAGGCAACCAGCCAAGGCCAAAATGGTTCCCAAAAAGGGCTTACTTTGAACCATGGGTTTGTCTGGTGAGGTGTGCAATAGGTGAATGTTGGTTTTCCATAGGTTAAGTTCTGGTCCTTTGTAAAAGGTCAGTAGCATTGCCCCACCAATCCCAAACAGTGTCCCCAAAACCTTTGCTCTCCCTGATGCTGTCTTCCAACCCAACTTCTCCAACCTAAGCCACTCCACAAACCATGATTATCTTAATTAATTTCATCAAATATAGACAACTAGTTAGATTGGGTGAAGTAATGTTACACTTAAGTAATGGATCAGATGGTGAGGTGTACCTAAATGTGACTGCAACAATGAATGTAATCCCAGGGATGAGATTAAAAATGGCAGTTGCATAAGTTGCTGAAGTATATACCAAACTTTGTAAATACAAATTCTGCCCGAGTGATCCTCTGTATACAAAATAGTTACAAAATGCAACCGGTTATGATTTCATCAAGAAAATTCCATAGATTGGACTAAATCATATGCGGAGTATAATATATTTCTTCAAATGAGACTATCATTGTTTTAGGACTTTGATTTGTGTTTTTTGTCACAAATCAAATGTATTCTTGTTTGACATGTAGAAAAAACCACGTTTTATTCCACTTTGGAGTACATTCTTCAGATTAAATTTTTCAATGATTGAAAATAGGTGCAGTGTCCTATAAGTGATAAAGTGTTGTCTAAAAATCTTGAGGCATATCATTTGTTGCCCCCTAAATACCCACTGATGAATATTATTATTCTCTAAACATGTCTCCTTTTAGAATATTATTGGTAAAGTAGACTACTTTTTTAATGTTAATTTGATTTCTGGGATGAAAACAACAGACTAGAGTAAAGGTATCAGTAATAGCATGTGAAAGATTCCCTTTTAATTATGGTCCAACCCCAAAACAGAAAAAGATAGAACATGCGTGAGTTAATTAATTACAGGGCAACTTAAATAGTTACCTAGCTATCTACCAACCAAATCTGGGTAAATATGGAATTAATGATAGTAAGAAGTAGGATTATTACCCAAACAGTCCACAGATAAATGCAAGCAATACAACAGTCCATGTCAACTTCGGCCGCTTCTTTCTGAAATTACAAACCATCAAAATCAACCCAATTCAAATTAAGGAAACAAAAGTATTAAAGCATAATTTAAGAAGTTAAAAGAAATTAAAGATCCATGCATGCAATCTGAAAACTTACCCCAAAAGCACATAAATTAAACCCATTCAGTTTCTGGACTGAAATTAATCTTTCTATGTAGAAAATGAAATGGGGATATTATGGATTTATGGGTGGTTTCTAACAATATATAATCCGGAGTAAATGATTAATTAGTTACTGTATACATATAATAAGGAATGTATTTCCAGTTTCCGGCCGATTCAAGAAGCCAGATTACTTCGAAAAAATCGCACCTTTCAGCCAGTAGAGCCACCGGAGCGATGAAGCCGGCGGCGAAGAGGAACCGGTAGCAGACAAGGATGCTAAGGTTCATCCCATCGGAGGCGGCGATCTTGTAGAGAACATTAACGCCGGCGAAAACGGCCTGCACCAACACCATCAAGAACGCCGGTTTCAGCCCATGCATTACGTCCCATATCTTCTCCATTCAGTCGTCGGCCGGCGGCGCGCCGGAGCTGAAGATGTAAAAGATCAAAACTTTTCCGAAACCCGACGGTGCAAGAAACCGAACGGGCAGTTCTTGATTTCGCGGCGTTCCGGCCGCCGAGAGGGATGAGAGAGAGAGCGCAAGTGAATCGGTTGATGTTCTTGAGAAGGAAGCGGGGCTGTTATATACGAAGGCGGATCGTACGTACGTATATTCGTATGTGGTAAGCGTATACGTATACACGTGGGCGTATATATATTTATGTGAGTCATGTATTACTGCCTCCTAATTAGTTGTAACTTTTACCATTCAATATGTAGCACTAAACCATGCTCTTTAAATATGGTAGCGTATGATATCTCGTCTTACCATCCAAGTCTAGTCTGATCTATTCGAGTCTGGCCTGAGACAAAAAACAAACCAAGTAAAATCATCCCAAATACTCCCTCCCATATTTCAAAATTCTCTACATTAGGTTTGGGCATAACATTTAAGGGTGAAATAATAAGGGTAGTGAATAGTGTAGAAAAGGTAGGAGAGAAGGTGGAAAAATATGAAAGAGTAGATAAAAAGTAGAAAAAATAAGGATAATTGAGTATTTTTAAAAGAAGAAACTTACCAAAAAGGAAAAGTGTAACAAACTTTTATATACATCCAAGAAAGGAAAGTGTAGCAAACTTTAAAGTATTTTACGATATTTTTTTCATAATGTTGTGGCCTGTGGGCAGTGGGCTTGTGGTAAAAACATGACATTTTCTGAATATACAAGTACTTATATTAAATTTATCTATGTACTATAGTCTCTAGAATAAATGAAATAATTATGTTTACTTTTTAGATATCTGGGATCAGTGGCGGAACCGAAAGTGCCAAGTTAATTAAGGCGACCAGAGCTTAAGTAATACCGAAGTACATATAATAGGGGCCAAAACATAAAATTTCAATATACTTTTTCCTGTTTATAATTATTTATACATATATACATAAAAAAAAGTGCAAGCTAGGGCCTAGTCTGGGATCGTAAGTATATAGTACTCCCTCCGTCCCTAAATAAACTTCCAACTTTCTTTTTTCGTCCGTCCCAATTAAAACTTCCACTTTCCTTTTTTGGCCAGAATTTGTGGTTCACAGCAATTCTTACACATTTCTCTCTCCTCTGCACAACTCTCTACCACACAATATCCACTATCTTAAACTCTGTGCCAAACCTATTTGGAAGATATAATAGGGACGGAGGGAGTAGTATTTAAATGAATAAAATGATCTAAAATTTTGTGTACAGTATTAATATAATTCGCTAATTTTGATCTACAAGTGTGGCTGATATCGTTCAGATTAGGCCCTAGCTTGCACTTTTTTATATCGTTCAGATTAGGCCCTAGCTTGCACTTTTTATATCGTTTTTAACTCTTAAACGTCATGTTCGATCAAAGAGATTAATAGATCGAGTTCGAATAGTTTATGATGCTTGACTCACGATTCACGATAAAGTAACTCGATATTTGTTCACATTCAAATTATTTTTAATAAATAAAATTTACAAATTCAGAAATTACATTAATTAAAATGACTACAAAGCATGATTAAGAAAATTTAAATTTGACACACACTTCATATAAAATAAGAGATTAATAGTGATTTAATTTGACCAAGTGAATGGTGAATGACTACTTCATTTGGGGGCGGAGGCAATATAAAGCAATGAATACTACAAAAAACACGGAACTGATAACAATTTTTTATAGGGATTCCTTAAAATTGACAAAAATTTTTGTATGGAGATGTGAAATCAGTGTCAAAAACAGTTTGGTATGAACTGTTTGGCACGAAATGACGAAATTATTGATAAACACCCTATACGACTTTGGGTTGTTTTTCTCATAGTTATAACTAGGTTTCAAGCCCGTGCGATGCACGGGTAGTACATAATTTAGCTAATTTTAAATTTGATATTTTCGAAATCATATATAATGGGATGCAAAAGAAAAATAAACTCAATCTAAATATAGAGTTCGTTTGATAATACTCGTAGTAAAATTAGCGAAATCAGCTTATTTTACTGAAATTGATTAAATTCGGGTTGAATCACTTGAATGGGCTGAATAGGCAGAATCTCTCAAATCATGAAAAAAATTTAAAAAAAATTCACTTGTAAAATAAAGAGACAATTATATGGAAAATATTCAAAATGTTCTTTTACATAAGCATCTCAACTAAACACCATTGTGGTGAACCCAATTTTAAAGAATTGAGAGAGAAGCTTCTTAATTAATCTCATGTCTTCTAAATTATTTTATTATGCACCTCAATTTTTTTCATATTCCTCATTGAACTTGGTATGAACTGTGGAGTATTTACTGTTAACTTTTAATAGTAAGATATTACATTTGACTCATTATTTCATCACATTGAAAATGTAAGAAACGGAGTGTTTTTACATTTTACTCATTATTTCGTCACATTGAAAATGATTTTTAATTGTTATGAACGTCTATATTACTTTAATGAGCATTTCAAAATAATATTTTTCTAATATTTCTCAATCAACTTGGTATGAAATACATATTTTTAAATTTTAATAGTGAGTTAGCTTCTTACATTTAACTCAATTTGGTACTCCGTAGTAAAAATAAAGAAATGAAACAATCCAACATATTGACTTTTGGCTAGACTAAACGTATTAACTTGTGAACACACATATGCATGTATGATATCAACTTTCATCCTTATTAAATACTATGTAATAAAGATAAGCTACTTGATTAGAAGTATTCTCTTTATATGATTCTATATATGAATGTCTAATAGTACTAATTTCGCTTTTAATTTCAAAATTTCGGTGGTTATAATTTTCATCATTGTGTTAATAATTAAGAAAGCATTATACGAAGATAGGATGTCGAAAAATACGAAGTATTAACACAGTTTCAAATCTATAGCTTAAAATTTTAATCATGATCTCAACATTGAGTTTAGAAGAATAAAATATATGGAGTAACATTTTAGGAAATAGGACACTATTAATACTTTTATATATATATATAAATAATTTTGAAGACAAAATAAATAGCAATTTGGCTGATTTATCTATTTTTTTAAGGAACTGATTTATCTGTTAAGTGGGCAAAACAAAGATACTTTATTTCTTCAATAAAATGTAATAAAAAATAAGAAGTATAACAATAATCAAAAAATTATACGTGCTTATAAAATACTTTATAAAAAGTACTTCGTATGATTGATTATTTAATAAGTGTGATTCCAATTAATGAATTTCATAATTATTAAATAGGTTTTGAAAAAGTTTCCAAATAAGGTGGATTTTTATCATAAAGTCTTTTGTTTCCATATCAACATGCAATCAAAAATAGAATCTAATAAAATAAAAAAAGATACGGAATATTAAAAAAATTAAATGATGGATGACATTGCATGATTAGGTGGCGCTTTGTATGCTCTTAAAAAGTTCCTCTTTTATATATATATATATATTTAGAATGGAAGTCTAGATCTAATAAGTACATTTTCAAGGCATTCATTTTTTTTTTGGAGCGCTTGAAGACATGATTAATTAATTACTTGGTATATGCTTACCTTTGTCTAAGCTCTCGTGCGTTTGGAGACTTGGAGTAAATTTCGTGCATTTAGAAAGCGGTAGAGAATACGCGTGTCATCTTCTCACTTTCAACACCTGACTCCCATGAAGTTGGAGTGCGAGCTTACCGGTTTCCAAACTCTTTGAATTTTGAAATTACTCCTGTTCCATTCCATGTTTTTATTTGGTCTCAATTTTACAAATCCATTCTAGATTAATCTGAACTTTGATTTAGGGGTATTTGTAACTGATTATGCTTCTGCTTCTTTTTTAAAATAGAGCAGAATCAGAATCAGTTTTCAAAAGCTGGTCTCCGCCAGCTTCTAAAAAAACTGATTCTATGAGTAAATTAGAGCACCAGAATCACTTCTTCACTTTCGCCCAAACACTCCAACTTCTGCTTCTGCCTCCTGAATGAGAAGAAGTAGTTTTAAGAATCAGATCCAAACACCCCCTAATCTAGTCTGATTTTTACTAATCAATTAACAATTAAGGAGGTATGTGTACTACGTATCAGGATGTTTTCTTTTGGACTATTTTCAGTCCCAGACCAGACCAGATCAGACCAGACTTCCATAATTATAAAATACACAGAGATCAGACGTTTACCAGACCAGACCAGATCAGACCAGACCAGATCAGACCAGACTAAACCAGGCCAACAAATTTCAGTCCAAAAGAAAACATCCCTACTCCGTATGTATTTTTCGCTATCTTCTACTCCGTAAATCTGACTAGATCACATTTATTTGTGAAATGTTCTAAGCGGGTAAAGTATAATCTGGTGAAAAACACAAGTAGACCGATTTGACGTAATACTCCGATTACACCCCATATACGAAGTATGAGATAATAAAGGGTGGTCCTTTAGGTCATCTTCAACAGTTTACACCATTTTTTACATTAAAATGATGTAAATATCATATCAAACAGTATTTTATATCCAACATTTTACATCATTTTCATCACCATAAAAGAATATTCTCTTTTTATTCTTTTTACTAACTTTTTATCATTCTTCTAATTATCATATATTTATACATTAGCCTCATTTAATATTTTGACATTTCACACATTATTTCACACATACAAACTAAAATACACCATTTTAATATGTATTTTCACGCATTTCACTAATTAAAATACAATAATCAATATTTCACAAATACAAGCTAAAACTACATAAAATTAAATATTACAATAATATTATAATAATTTGTACGTCATTAATAAAGTATTAGTTTATTAAAAAATCAGACCAGATCAGACCAAATCAGACCAAACCACATCAGTTCAGACAAGACCAAACCAGAGTAGACCAACAAATTTCAATCAAAGTAAAAAATTACTAATTTGTTGTTTTAAAAATGGGTCAAAACTATAACAATCAAAACTTTGGGTCACATTTGAAATAAAAAAAATTAAAAAAAGAGGATTGTGTGAGATATGGTGTACGCCATATTTGGTGTAAAGCAAAAGCCTCCCTCCCAACATGGTGTAATGGTGTAGGGGATGGTGTGACTATTGGAGCAATTTTTTGCCAAATTCACCATTTTGGTGTAGGATTTGGT